TACCATCAGAAGATACTCAGAACAGCCACAGGGCTCCGATGTGGGGAGCAAAGGGACAGGCAATGCCCAGGGGCCACACAGGAAGCCCACAGACCTTTGAGGGAACCTTTGGAGAAGCCTCTGGGTCTCCCAGGGGAGGGGGCTGGCTTGTGAGGACGTCCAGAGGAGGGGCACATCCAGGCAGAGGCAGTAGGCGGGTCACCGAGCAGGTCCCGGTGCCTTCCCCTCCACACCCTGAGCTGGGCTGTCCCAGGGCTCTGTGGCCTGGCACACGGGGGACAGCTTGGCAGAAGGCAGCTCTCATTTCCCTAGGCAGGAGGAAGTCAGCTGCAGCCCCGGCCGGCGCTTTACTCAGCTTGGCTGCTTACAATCACACACCATCACCCCTACACCACCACATCTCAATGAGCCCACTTCATTTATTACCAAAATATCACAGAATTCCAGTCATAGTTAACATACAGCATTTAACACAAACCTGATCCCTGGGGAAAGATCTAAGTATTTGGACAATCGAGTCATTTGGAACCGTAAGTAACACCCCAAACCGATATCACTCCGTACTCCAAAAATACGCTTTGAGAGCTTTGGAAACTGAATTAAAATGTCTACACAGCTATGAACAATTGTTTAATAAAACTTTTTCATGTTTCCATTACATGTAAATATATCAATTTGGCATCTCTATAAAAACTCTGAAAATGGTGCAAAAGTTTCATTCTCTTTGAGAAAGCCATTGACAAAAAATATTCACACTTCACTAAAATTTTGAAAAATGGTCTTCTTTCAAAGCTTCTTTATTAATCTGAAATCTTCTGGATTATCAAAATCTAGGTTTGCTTTTTCCTCCTAAAACACTAAAGAACATTTATTCACAAGGATAAAAAGGCAAATGGGGAGATGGAAAACTGAGAAGGGCTTTTTTTTTTTCTTCCCTGAAAATAATAATAAAAAAAAAGAGCTAGTTACATAAGCATCCTCAAAAGAACACAATGGGATTCATTTTATTGTTGACTTTTGGACAGCAGTGTCATACTTTATTGAAAACAAACCCATGTAAAAACAAAGTTAAAATGAAAAATGGTACCTGAAAAATAAATTATTTTATATAAAACAAATCAATAACTTAAAACACACTAATATACAAAACGTCTACCCATCTACTGTACAACACGGGAACCAGCTGGTCAAGCGCCCCGCCCCCCAGAGCAAGTCACTGGAAACGGAACAGTACATGGTAAAGAGGTGGCCCCAACCAACGGACAAGCCTTTTCTCCTGGTGGAATGCAATAGAGTCCTCAAAGCCGCTGCTCGAGCCGTCGGTTAGCCTAACTTAGGTCCCTGCGGTGACGTACAAATAAATTTTTTTTTTTTAATGACCAAGCGGAAAACTGAAAACTAGGTCACCAAAAGGCTGTGGGAAAATATACGATACAATCATTAAAAGTCAGAGGCAAATCAAAAGGTCTGGAAAGGTGAACCCTGCCGGAGGTCTGGGATTCAGGTTCTACTGCTATCGTAAGCAAGGGTCAATCATCAATGCCACTCAACAGAAAGCACTTGGGACTGGAGTTGGGGGCCGGGCCTGGGAATCTGATGGACAGCAGGAGGTGCTTCCTGAGGAGCTGCCTCAGGTCCCAGAGGTGCCACAGGTCCTGGGAAGGTGGGAGGGCTTTCAGGTGGAGGGCTCGCTCGGGCAGAGGGGGGTGGCTGGGGAAAAGAGACCTTTGGCAGCTTATTCTTACTCTCTTATCCAACCCAGGAAGGCTGCAAAAAGCACAGAGAAATGAAATCAGGCTGAATCAGATGTGAAATGCAACAGCTGGGCGACGTCTGAACTTTGATTTTTCAAGGCCGGCAGCCAGCCCGGGATCAGTCAATGGCCCTAGTTTTGGAGGCAAACCAGGACTGAGTTATTACCAGTAACCGTCTTCGGATTCATCTACTTGGTCTGATCCGGCAGGGACTGTCCCCTGCTTCCCGGCCGCCAGCTCCCAAAGCACCAGCTCCCTACAGCAGCACGGGTCAGACCCTGGACGCTGGCTTTCCAGCACTAACCAAGCGCAGACTCTCATAGGTTAAGGCAGCTGCCCTTGGCAAGGGAAGGACTCACCTTCAGGGAACAAAGGCGGCGTGGTCCACCCAGCACCATCTGCCCACAGGCCAAGAAAGCCCGTCTTGCAGCTATTCTGGCAAGATGGTGGCGGGGGGTAGGGTGGGGGGTGATCCCAGTCACAGGACGTGCGACTAGAGGCACAGCCAGAAAACCACAGCTTGGCATATTACAACGAAAAACTCAAGAGGGCAGAGCCAAGGCGTAAAAAGTGAGTAATTCAACTGGAACCAGGTTCACAAATTTGGAGCTTCTTAGCAAACAACTATCGGGGGGAGTTACGCAGGCCGAAAGGAAATTCAGTCAAAGCCTCTTTGGTATTTATGTACCAAACCAAACTTTCGATAAATGAACATCATCTACTCTTTTCATTCCTTTTTTTTTTCCACCAAAATTCCCAAATAAAAGGAGAGCACTCATTTTGCGAAATACAAATATGATTGATCTATGTAAAAAACGTTTAAAAAAGTTTCTTTTGGATCGTGACTTTTAAAAAATGGGGTCTTCCTTTTTTGCAAACAAGCCTGGAGAAGGTTTAATGAACTTTTTAGGACACAGGGCCAGCACCTGGTACATCACTGGGAGCGGCAGTTGCTTTTCAGGGTTAAGGAACACGTCAAAAGTGACAGCCTTCCACACGCTTGCGATTTCACACTCCCAAGGAAACGCACTTGGGGTTTTAGCTAGAAGGCTGTTCAAAGAGTGGAGCCCATGTAAAATGAGAATTTTACTCAACTGAGAAACCTCAGGCAGCTTTCAAAGGATCATCTCCTTCTCCTCTGTGCCAGCATCAGAGTAATCAATACAGGTCGGGTAACAGGGAGGGGAGAGGTGGGGAGGGGCAGGGGGTGCTGGCGTGCAGCCCTCCGTCCCTTCACGGTTTAGGCTTCCGACAGAATTCAAGTACGAAATCGAACACTAGCGAGGGCGGGCAGGAATGTGTCAGGGGAGAGACCTAAGGGTCGCGTTCAGAACTGGAATCTCATCTTCACTGAGAAGACGCGGCTGGCCCAAGGCTAGCATAACCTGAAAGGCATAGTCTTCCAGGAAAACATCCTGGTCTGTGGTGAAGAGCAGGGAGGCGGGGGGGACCCTCTCCTGTGTCGAATCCAGGCAAATGGGCCGTGGCTCTGGGTTCCAGGAGGAGGCACGTAAGCTGGCTCTGACTTAGGATCTGGAAACTTCCGCTGGAGGGAGGTCCTCCATGGCGCGAGGCCAACTCATGAGAAGGCCTCAAGGTATGAACTTGGCCCCTTCGGTGGGAGAACGGCATGACAACATCTCAAGTTGGGGAGGAGAATGCGAGCAGTTGGCAGCCCCTCAACGAAGTCTGAGGGGAACGGGGCTGGGACAGGCAGCCTCAAATTGTCTGGGGGCTTCTCAGAACACTGACCTGCTCGGGAGAAGGCTGTGCCCGATCTTTTTCCACTTAAATAAATAAATAAATAGGTAGGTACGTAGATAAATAGATAAATAATACCACAATTCCATGATATCGATCAACTAAAACTGCCTATGGTTACGTGTTTTAGTCTTATATCAAGGCTAAAAACTGCTGGTACTAAGTTGTCCTGTTTTTGAATCTCTCTAAACGCTAGATATTTATAACAGTCAGAATCACACTCCTGAGGAGTTGCCCGGAGGTCTGGCCCTGCCACTTCTCAGGTTCTCTCTTTCAGACTCTCCCTACTGGCTCCCCCGTTTTCAAAAACGCCATCTGTGACTGCATACTCCTACGTCACAGGCCTGTAAATGCTTTGTCTTGAGGCAAGTCTTTTTTTTCTTAAGATTTTTTTATAAATCCTCCCTGAATGCTGGCCGTCTGGACCTTACCTAGCCAAAAAGAAAGAAAAGGTAAAATAAAAAACAAAACAAAATTCGAGCAAAACAAAATCAAATTTAATGGTCTTAAATGCAAAAGTAAAAACAAACAAAAAACACAAAAAAGCAAAAGAAAATTAACAGAACAGAACAACCCAAAATGTCAAGGCAGTTATGAAGAGAACTTGGGAGGGTTAATCTTTAAAACTACAAATCAAAGTTTTTTTTTTTTTTTTTTTTGTTAATAGATAACTGGCAAGAAGTAAGTACTTTTCTGCTGAGTGTTCATACGAAAGCAAAGTTTCAAAACAAAATCCGACTAAAATAGAAACAAGTCTAGCGCTCACGAGAAGGGATGCGAGAAATACAATGCTCAAATGTTTCTGTGTTCTTAAAATATAGAGCGATCTTAGGCATTCGAGCTGTGTGAACTGCTCTTGGAAAGTGGAGAAATGGTTGGGAACACCAGCGCCCGGTGTGCGGGGCACCGTGCATGCAATGTGTGCACAGAAATTCGGGATGTCAGAGGAGCAGCACGTCTTCAGGCGCGCCCTGGAGTTAGGTCTGACTCTGGAATATACTGGAGTTTCCCTGAAACTCTTTGGTCCGTTCCCATTGGCGCCTGGGCTTATGAAACCCGTGCGTGTCCTTCTCTGGAGGGCCCGGTATGGCCCGGCATACGGCCCCCCTCCCTGGTGGCGGCCCCCCTGTTGGATGGCCTGCTGCCACTGCCAGGACCGCTGCAGAGCCCCGGGGCTGAGTGAGCAGGAGGTGGCAATGGCACCTGCTTGGGAAAGCAATTTCCTGTCAACCAAAGCAGAAATCGCTTAAAATGTTGAAGCGGTTGAGAAAACGCACACTCAGCATCTGTCTAACGTCTTTAGTTTGAAAACTAAAACTAAAAGGTCATGTCTTTTTTTTTTGTTTTTTTTTTTGTTTGTTTTTTTTTTGTTTTTTATGTTTTTTATCCAGTTTGTGGAGACACCGAATGAAACGAGTGTTAGACAGTCTTAGAAGTTAAAGCATGCTTCAGGTTCACCACCGTCCCGAGGGACTGGTTAGTCAATGCAGTCTACTTAGATTTCTGTTTAATATATATTTTAAAGGAAATAACTTAAGAAACTTAAATTGGTCTAACATTGTGGGATTTCAAACATTTGAACATGTCGGTTGCATCCCCGAGTATAAAAACCTTTTCACTTCTCATTTAGACTAAGACAAACACTTGTGAAAATTGGCGCAAAATGAGTTGTACACTAACAAAAAAGTTTCAACTTCTTCACTCTTAATTATCTATTCCGTACAAAAAAAAAAAAGCATGAGCGAGTTATTTGTGGGACTTGTTGGTTTTGAAGGAAACCTGTAAGATTTTGTCCCCCAGGCGGTAGCCGTTCAGACTTGCTATGGCCATGGCGGCTTCTTCATAGTTTGTCATGGTCACAAAGCCAAAGCCTTTGCACTTGTTGGTGTTGAAGTCGCGAATCACTTTCACATTGGTGACTGCCCCAAAGGGGCCAAACATCTGCCAGAGGATCCCCTCATCGGCGTCCTGCCCGAGGTTGTAGATGAAGATGCACCAGCCCGAAGACGCGTTGCCCGGGACATTGACACCAGAAAGCCCACTCATGTGATCTACACCCATAGGGGAGAACCTAGCAAACAGAGAGCACAGCATGCAGGTCAAGGTCATGCGGGCTGGTGCGTCGATGCAGGGGTTGGGGTACGGCTCGGGCAAGGCTGGCACCCCCCATCAGTCCCAGATGAGAATTCAATAGAGGGGCAATGGGGGGGGGTCCTGTTTAGTGATTCCCAGGCTTCCCACATTTAAATAATGGAAGCTTCTCCATGTCCCCCTATGTGCTGTTACAGCCTCAGATCTCCCTAGGGGAAACTCACTCTTCATTCCCCACGTCTTTGCTGTGTTTGGCCAGTGGGGAGGGGGGTGGATTTTTTTTCTTTCTCCCCCGGAGCCCCCGATTTTGTACCTTGCCCTCATCTTGACTGCCCTTGTCAGAGGGGTCCTGGGCGAGCACACACCCCTGTGAGGGGCCAATGCGGGGCCCAGGGAATTCCTTCCCCCAGCTATAGACAACCTTCCACAGCTGACTCACAGCATCCCAGAGGGCCAGGGGCCGAAGTGACGGCTGTGAACCGCAAGTCCACCAAGCTGTACCAATAATGTGGGACCCTTTCCAAAGCAATGCTTTCAGCTGCATAAAAAATAAGCCTTCTACAAATGTAGAACAGGATTGCAACAGGATTAAGGGAGACGATAAAACTGTTACTGAAGCCACACGACCCTCTAAAGGTTTCAGAAAAACGGTCTTCAGGTCAGTTTAAGAATATCTGGGTGTGGGATCCCTGGGTGGCGCAGCGGTTTGGCGCCTGCCTTTGGCCCAGGGCGCAATCCTTAGAGACCCAGGATCGAATCCCACGTCGGGCTCCCGGTGCATGGAGCCTGCTTCTCCCTCTGCCTATGTCTCTGCCTCTCTCTCTCTCTGTGTAACTATCATAAATAAATAAAAATTAAAAAAAAAAAAAAGAATATCTGGGTGTGATATAGCATCTGTGGGGCCATGCTGTGCAAGATGTATGAGCTGCTCTAAAATAAAATTGGGCTTTGAGTTGTGGTGTGACCCAGGGGTGAGCAAGTGCCTCTAAGTGCCATTAAACAGGTTCATTCCTTTGACAGACCAGAGTGACCCACTCCCTGGGTGCAGCCTGCCTATCCAGGGATTCTTTTCAAAGCAGGTACGAAAGAATCAAGATTACGTGACTGGCTGAGGTTCTGCATTTGCGAGAGCACTCGGAAAGAACCTGCACTAGGATGCCTGAGTTGGTTAGACAACTCAAGCAGCTTGTTAGTGGTCTTAACTGTCTGGAACAGTGACCGAAATGTCACGGAAGTGGGGGCAGGGAAAAACACCCTTGAATTTGTGTGACAGTAGTTGGACTGGTTTTCAATGAAAACTGGAAAGAGGCTCTGACTTTTAATGGGCCTCATTTCCATTTTATGGGAAATCAGACATGGGCCCGAGTTATTGTTAACCTGAATCTTCATGTACCTGTTGTATGGAAAGTAACCTGAGGCCTTATTCTACTATCTTTTATTGAGAGGATTATTTCTGTGAACTAGCATTAGTTGGTTTTTCTCCTGCTTGTGGGAGCTGGTTTCTTTCATCCTGACCACCAGGACACCCACCTTCCCTTTCTTTTCACCGATGGTACAAAGGAGAGCTGAACCTTCCTTTATTTGGGGGCTTTTCCTGTTGTAAGAAGAACTGACTGCAAACTCTCCTCTGCTGGGCCTGTCTTCCTCTTACTTATCTGAGCCAGCCTTCTGGTGGCAGGTCTTCGTCTTCCCTCCCGCCCCTCATGCCACCCCTGTTTCCCTCTGCCTCTTCTTCTGTGAACCTGTTTGGTTGTTGAGACCCCTTTCCTGCCTGACCTGCAGTTTCGGCTGCTCTGGTCCCCTTTCTTTTCTTTTCCTCATTCCTGGGCCTAAAGCCCCCCTTCTGCACCCTTCCTTGGTTGGTTGGTTACCGGGAACTTGCTGCAGGCTGCCGTCTAGCAGCCCACCTGATCAGCAGTGACACAGACTGTGTCGCTGACCTTCAAAAACAAACTGAGCTCACTTCTGTCCCAGTACACTTCCCCTGCCTTAGTTCTTAAAACTAGAAAAGCCAAGGAGGGAAGGCTAGCTTTGGAAACTGAGCTGAGGTGAGAATTGTGCATGACTAGGTGCTGAAAACAGTACCTCCCCAGATGGCATCTGTGCAGGTGAGCAGGATTTTACTCAACCTCACTGTTTAAAACAAAGATGGAACACCTGCAAAGTTGTAGAGAAAAATGTTCCTAACCTACCTGAGATAAACCCTCATGCCTGTGTTTGAGGTTTCGACCAAAAAACCCCAAAAACCAACAACAACCCCAATGGGCCCCATCAGTCGAGACTGCTGCTACTTAGGAGGTGGAACGCACCAGAGTGTGGAGCCCAAGCTGCTCACTCTCATTGTCTCTGTTTTACTAGATCCTGGCAACTGGAGTCATTTTCAATCTGGAAAGACGAAGGAATGATGGAAAACCATTCGCCTCCAGGACGGGGCTTTGGAACAGAAGCCATGTGATGTTTAGAGATCACGAGGATCCCACAGGGAGGTGGATGAGAAAGAGCTACTTGCGGGCTGTGAGCAGTGGCAGCAAGCTGCATGCCAGGTAGCAGAACGGCTCTCACCTATGCACACTCAAGGCTGTGTCCTCCCGTTTTACACTCTCAGCCCCGCTTGGGTCACCAGACACTGTGTGCTGGAGTGGAGTGCACTTTCCCCTCCCTAGGGGGAGGGCTGGCAGGAGACCCATGGTGATTCTGACCAGCCTCCCCAGCCAGCTGCAGGGGGAGGGAGGGCTGGGTTGGTGAGAGTGCCACCTCCTGACCCACCTGAATCTCTGCGCCTGGTGGTGAACGGGGCCTCCGAACCGTCTGGCAGGTGAGTGGTACAGCTGGGAGAGCAGTGCCACGTTTTTGTTCTGGTTGGGGTTGGCTGCAAACTTCACTGTAATGGGCTCAGAGGAACCTGGGGGTTTATGACCATTGAAACTGGTAATTGCCTCTTCTGCCTCCGACCGTTTGTCAAACCGGATAAACGCAACCCCTCTGGACAAACCTTTTTAACAAACCAACAAAAATGGAGTTAGGGGGGGAAAGGCAAGGATTTTTAAAACTGAAAAGCAAAATTCAAGTCAGTGTACTATGCTTCAAATCGGACACTACCTTCATGAGGTAAACAAAACGTAAACCTACATACAGAAACAAATGAATTAAAAAAAACATTCATAAAAGGTTAAAGTTTCAGACTTCCTTTTGAGTTGAAGCAGCAGCTACAGTCTTGGTGCAGAAAGATGTCCTGCTGACAGATATCCCAAAGACACTCAAACCTCTTTCTTAAAACAAGCCGAGCTGGAAGACATGCCACCCTCCACCACTCTTTTAGGCCAGGTGCCCGCAATAGCGCAGGTGTGGGGACGTGCACAGGGGCGGCCAGGTGACCAGGTCGGGTCTGAGGGATTGTCCCTGCACTCTGGGGCCCCACTGCCTGCCCTGCCAGCACATCCCAGGGGCGGCTGCTGTGAACAAGGAGCGATGGTGGGTCCTGTAGTCTAGCCAGGCCTTTGCAAGCTGTCGCCTTCCTAGCTGGCCTGACAGAGTCCCAGACTGCTGGGCGTTCTCTGTCATCCTTCGACGTCAGGGAGTCCTGGTAAGTCAGCCTCACCCTGCAACCCTTTCCTCCTGTCCTCGCCTCACTCACCTTTTGGATATTCCATTATAAAGTCCTAAGACTGGTCTAGAATCAAGTGAAGCCATTTGCTCTCCCCTAGAAAACTGCCCAGGCACACACAGACATGCTGACACCTGCCCACAGACTCCCTGGCAGGTAAAGAATCCTGCCTTGGGCCCATTCCATACCCATCCTGCTCCCACGTGGGAAGGCCCAAGGCCCCCCGTCGTGAACTCCAGCCACCTTGGGAATCCTGCTACCTAGACTGAGCCACATGAAGTCAAGCCTTGGGTCTCACTATAACCCCATCTCTCAACAGATCCAGAATATGGAACTGGGACCAGGCTGCCTGAGATCCAAGACCCAACAGCTGAAGGTAGTGTCTAGTCCAGTACGAGTGTGAAACCCAAACGAACCAGGGACAAGGGGGAACAGTCACACTCCACCCTGATCCGTCTACATTCTAGGCCTGGTAGGAATGAGAACCATCTCTTACAGAACTTGACAAATGAGGTAGGATTGCGGTGAGGGAATGTGGAGCTGAGGAAGAGGACTGGCTCCATCTCCTGGGGAGAAGAAATAGAGGGTCAAGGGTGAAGGTCAAAGTGCAGTGGAGAGGTGACAGCTGAGGGCCAGTCTGAGCAGTGTGAGTATGCTGTCAGGGCGGGAGTCATGGATGTGTCCTGGGGTGTGAATGGGGACGGGACTGTGAGAGACAGCCCTATCCTAGACTCTCGTCTCGACTGCCACTCATAGCCTGTCTGAAGTCCTATTTTCTTCTCCAGACAAAGGCCTTCAGCACGCAGTGAATGACAATTATTAAAACAGGACAGCTCAGGGCCTTGGGGCACCAGCTACGTGAGCACACCAGATGTCCCCCAGGCAGCTCCCACATCCTGCCACCCTTTCTTATCCCTTCCCACTGAGTTCTACCAACTGCCCTAAGATGGGCACAGACAGGGTGGGGGGTCTCCCCAGCTGGCCTGAAGGCTACAAAGGGGCACAGGGAGACTCAGATATGCCAGGTGGGATGCCAAAGTGACAAGTGTCACTGTGAGGCACAGTGGCCCACTCTGGGCCTAGAATCCCATGCCCAGGCCTGACTTGAATGCAGTACTGTGGGCCCCATTCGAGCAACCAGATGGCAGTCAGGGGCCCTCGGGCAAAGGATTCTTCATGTACACCTGTAACATATCATGGATACTCCATAATGAGTCTGAAAGCACAAACTCCAGATCTCCCAGCTGGGAAACTCCCCCTCCTGGTGTCCCCCCAGCATAGCGCTCTGGGAGGCCACACAGCTTGCTCCTAGTGGCCTCAAGGCTGCCTCCATCCTGGCTCCGTGATGGTTGGAATATAAATTTAAAATCCACACAGCCAGAGATACTGAGTTAGTGAGAAAAGAGCCGGCAATTCACATGTATACCAAGAAAATTCTAAAGTCTGAGCTCATTTTCCAATTTCAATTCAGAAGGAACACCTAAAAACACATACCTCAACATACACTGTTTTTATTTACCCTTGAAAGGTATGAATGACAGCTTTGACAGCTGGACACCTGAACAGATATTCAACTTTAAGCAACCACAACAGACAGCTGTGGCTGGCTGGCTCCGGCAGAAAGCCACCTTCAGGGAGTGGTTCCATTCTACTGATAAGGACCTTGCAATCAAGCAGAAAGCGTGTGTGCAGGTGTGGTTTCCCTGTTTGGTTTTGTAAAACGACTTTCAAATGGAAACTGCCCAAGTGAAATGAAGAGAACCCAAGAAAGAGAAAGTAAGTGTAAGGGAAAATACGTTCACTACATGATCCAATGAATGTACACCTTTTGAAGGGGGGCCTCCATGGTGGTGTTTTTCCCTCTAGTGTTTTCAGAATCAAGAGCAGAGATCAATAAACGACATGATTTCCAGATAAGTAAACTATAAAGTTCACAATTAAACTGGATAAGAAGGCAAAGAAAACTTTAAGTTCTGTCAGCTAAGAAGACTGAGCTTTCTCAAGACAGCTGCCCCATACCTTTTTGCCGCAAGGCACATCACATGGAGGCCAACTGGACACGCAAACCTGCCAACCACGCCCCTCGGGCTCCATGGGTCCCGGCAGAGAAGCCCTGCTGGGTGGCCCCTTCTGGAGCAGAGGAGGGAACAGAAGCCTACAGTCCTGAGGGCTCACCTTTCTAACTTGCCACTTCAACACCCTGGACTAGGGCACAGCTGTGGAAAGGGGGCCCTTGCGACCCCCTCACAGCTGCCTTCCCTCCACCCTTCACAAGGATTCTGAGGTCAGTCCCCTCTCTGGAGCGGCAGAGGCTGATAGGATGCCTGAGAGAGTGAAGCTCCCACGGATGCCACCCTGAATTCATGGCCGAGCCTGGAGGGCAATGCTGAGATGCCCCTCTCCCCAAGACACCAGTCTTCCAGAGGGAAAGGAAACAAAATGCCCTACAAATGGCTGAGGGGAAACTGTTTGCAGAAGTGACCTCCCTCAGGGTGGTGGGAGCCCTTAGGGAAAGCTCCCTGGGGATGTTCCTGGAGAGAGCCAGCTCCACTTGGTTGTGCTGGGCTGGACAGAGACAAGCAGAGGTAGAGCAGGACGTGTGGCGTGAAAGAAAGGAGGGTCATGGAAGCAGAATGCAGGACAGCACCGTCACACCATCCGGGTCTCCAGGCAGCCCACTCACGTGGGGCGGGGATAAACACACGCACTGACCAGCCGAAGTGGTCTCAACTGGCACTTGAAGTAAGGGAGCTTTGGGGACCACAGGAAACTACCCTGCTGCAGATCAGAGGGGTTGATACTGGTAAGTGGGATCCTTACCCCACTCCATCCCATCTCCACCCCAGAATAAAGGTGCAGAACAGAGGCCACGGTGTGGTCCTTGTCCCTCCAGCACAGCCTGGCACAGAGCAGGTATCTGCACCAGGCATAGGACTACCCAGGGCTCCTGTGAAATGCCAGCGAGCTGCACCTGTGGACCACACTCCAGCAGGCCCTCCTCCCCCTTTGGCCCCTGGGGACCCGAGCTGAGCTGTCCACTCCTCTCAAGGCAAGGCCTTAGCCCAGCACTGCAGCCCAAGCAGCATGGCCAGCACACGGGGAGCCAAGCTTCCCCAGAGCAGGTACGAGAAGGGAGAGCAGGTGGCGAGGCCTCAGGGGAACATAAGAGAATGTGTGTGCATCGCCAGCCCCAACTGTCACAGGCCAGGAAGGCCCAGCCCACCTGCTCTCTGGGATCTGCTCTGTGGCCTTCGGGGGGCGCTGCTGCTCTCTTGGAAAGGAAGTCACTACAGAGTTGTGACTTCCTGTGACCAACCCACCCAGGGTTCACACAGGGCTGCTCCCAGGGGCAGGTATGTCCTCAGCTCAACTGTGCCTGCCTGCCTCATCCAAAGGCCAAACCCAAGCTGCTAAGGTCCCAGGCTGAGATGACCTAAGAGGGCTGGCGGAGGGGCCAGGATTGTCACTGAGGGGGGATTTACTGCCTTGAGCTCTCTGAGCTTTGTGCTACTGAGGAAGGGCAGCTGAATCATGGAGACTGGAGCCCAGCTCCTCAGAAACAGCCACCTGTGGCTTTAGGCCAGTGGAAAGTGGGGACTCCGGATCGTGAGTGAAGACTGTCCCACACTATACACCACGTGCCTGCTAGAAGAACAGCAGTGTAAGGCTGACCGGTAGCCTTTGTGACCCATTGACAAGCCAGGCTGGGCCATGTGGGTGCTTGAGGAAGGTGTCAGGATCTCTAAGTGTTTTCACCATAACATGTTGGCCTAACACAGGGCCAGCTTTGCTACCATTTTACCTCCCCAGCCTCATAAAGCAAACACCAAGGTCTTCTCATTTTCATTCTGTTCACCCTGGCAGAGTAACTATTGACACTGAAACTCAAGCAGTGATGTGTCTTTCTGGAAATTCTGGCTCCCGCCTAGAGGAAAGCCTCAGCCAGCATCCGGGCCACCCTCTGTACCTGTGGTCTGATCCACAAGGACCCGGGAGTTGATGATTCGCCCGAACCGAGAGAACATATCCTCCACGTCCTTCTGGGTCATGGTCCGCGGGAGCCCACTGATGTACAGGTTGGCATCTTTGATGACTTCTGAGCTCGGGCGAGCATACGACACCTTGAAAACAAAATCACTTTCTGAGGTTAAGGCAGGTATGTGGCCAAAGCTTCGAGGGAGGGGGTTAACTGTTCAGGTGAGAAACCATGCTGACATTCATCATCCGCAGCAGTGCCTGCGAGCAGCTCACCAGGACCGAGCAGTGAGCTGGACACCTGTAGCATTTTCTCGCCTGGACTTTACATCCCAGTGAGGCAGACATGTTTCAGGTTTTCAGGGCCAAGAGACTGAGGGCCCACGGCTGCCAAGAGATGGGGCCACAACTCAACCCCAGCTGTCTCTTCTACTGTGACCTCACCCCTTTCTGGGCAGGGAGTGGGCTGGGGACAGGACCTAGTGCTACCTGTGAGGAGCCCAAAGGGCAACAGGTTAGGGACCTGGATGTCACTTGGAGGGTGACACCCACCTACCAATGGGCAAATTTGCCACCAGATGGGACCTGGGTTGCTGGGGGAGCCCACAGTCCAACACTCATGTTAGATAGTGTATGACTCCATGCGATTTGGGCCTTTGTTTTGCAGAACTGAAGAAAGCCTGCAAGGAACTTCTGCAGCGGCTCAGATAAAATAGTATGTGTGTGCGCTGGAGTGGGGAGCCTTCAGGGGCCAATGGCACAGGTCTTCGTGCTTTCCCAAGTCAGGGCCATGGCTGTGAATGGCCAGGAGGAGAGATGGGACCAAGGCTACAGCCCTGCTCTCATGAGAAAAGAACAGCTGGGACGGGGGCCCCATCATCTGCAAAGGGGTGGCCTGAAGGGACAGGACTCAATCACACCCAACAGAGTAAGAACTGAATTAGGAGGCTTAGAAAGGAGGAGGAGGCAGGGAAGGGAGCTCCAGAAGGGTGGGGGATTCGGATCTACACCCAATAATGTGTTCCTGAGGGTCACAAGGCCGAGGAGCCTAAAACCATAACCAGGAAGCAGGCACAAGCTCTCAGGTGTCCTTGGGCCACAACGCTCAGGCGTACCGGGAGGGGCAGAGGTGTGGTTCCTCATGCCAAGCACACACACGAGCAGCCTGCCACATATGCGTCCCTTCATTTGTGTGCTTGCTGACTCCACACCTACGCCAGGCCCGAGGAAGGGACAACAGACACCACCTCTGCCAGCAGAGCAGAAAGCAGTCCAGCAGGCGATGGAGAAGGAAAGAGAAATTGTATGTGTGGTGAGAGACAGCCCTGCTTCCCCCCAGAGATGCCGAGGATCACGGAGACTGCACGTCCGAGGAGAGTAGAAGAGAAGGGGCCCTGATTGGAAGGAGGCCCTCGGGTACCAGGTCCTGTCAGTGACTGGTGGCCTCCACACAAGTGATGCTGCACAAACCTCACATACCCTGGAAGCTTCCCTGTGCTGTGTCTAGGTCCGAGGCAACTGGGTTAGGCCTAGAGTACAGGAACGCTGTGATCACTCAGTGATGCATCTAAGACCTGGGGCAGGCGTGGCATCATTCGTTCCCTGAGATAGAGGCCACCTGGCCCACAGGGACTCCGCCGCTCCCTTCTCCACTGACGCAGGTGGCTGACCAGTCCACTGGGGCTGAGTCGTGCTCCTCGACTTCTAAAGAACAGTGTCAGCCCTTTCTCACACACCTGGGCCTGAACTCCCTGGCTGCATCAACCAGCCTGCAGAACCACCACCATCGCCCTGAGTAAAAACCCTTGCCAGAGGGTGTGACTCCAAATGTTGGCTGTCCCATTTTACCAAAGGCCCTGGGCTGTGGCGTTGTGTTTCAGGCAGGATGGCTGAAGGGGAAAGGCAGGCCTGCCTCCCAGAACCATCCCATCTGGCCCTTTGCAGATGTGTCTGGATGGGGCTGCATCGGGGGTCTGCCCTTGGCTTTTATTTTTTAAAAGATTTTATTTATTTATTCATGAGAGACACAGAGAAAGAGGCAGAGATATAAGCAAAGAGAGAAGCAGGCTCCTCACCAGGGGCCCAATGTGGGACTCGATCCCGGGACCCCAGGATTATGACCTGAGCCAAAGGCAGGTGTATAACCACTGGGCAACCCAGGTGCCCCTGCCCTTGGTTTTAATGAAGGACACTGTGGGACACGAAGACGAAGACCGTGGCACTGGTAGAGCGGTGCGGAAGCTGGTACTGACTGATCATCCCCCAGCAAAGTTGAGAGAAAACACCTTTTATGGCCAAATGAGCTTTGACTCCTTTCAACAACAGGTTCTTCAAGGAACATGACAAACCACTATCAAGTTCAGAGTCAGGTTGGCATCCAGGAGACTGCACCAGAACACCTGGCACCGGGGAGGGAGGGTCCACGACTGGGTCTAGAGCCTCTTTCCTAAGCTCTTGGCATCACTACTCCCTTGCCCCAAGCAGGGGTTTTCCTGTCACATTCTCCAGAACACTTCCTGTGAAGGGCTGAATCGCGTCCCCCAGCATATTCCCATGCTGCAGTCCTAAGCCCCAGCACCACACATGTGACTTGATTGGGAAAGAAGGTCATCATAGATGTAATTCATGAAGATGGAACAGGGTGGGCCTCACATCCAGTAACCGTGTCCTCAGAAAAGGGGGAGATTGGCCAGAGACACATACAGGCTCTGTGAGCCCGGGAACACCAGAGATAGCCAGCAACCCCCAAGGCAGGGGAGAACCCAGGACGGATTCTCCCTCATGGCCTCAGAATGAACCAACATTCTGATCTCGGACTTAGGGCCTCCAGGACTGTGAGAGCAAATTTCAGGTGTCTGACACTCGCCACCCATACAAACATCATTTGTGATGCTTTTCTATGGCAGCCCTGAGGAACTACTACATGTCCCCAACCACCTGATGGGCCACAGAGCCCCTCTGCCCATAAGCAGTACCCAGACCCTCCCCCTGTGTAAGTTTCTTCACTGCATTCATCTTGAACTGACATGCTACATATCTTACTCATTTAACCATGTAGAACACTTGACGAGGGCAACAAAACTTTTGTGTTTGCTGTGGCATCACCAGCACATAGAACTGATGCAGTGGATAGCAAGCATTCAGGGAACAATCGTGGAATGAGTGGACAAAAACAGTTGCTGTTATTACTAATAATGCCTGCTTACCTGCACCACCGTCTCCCGAGCTCTGTTCACGGCTAAGCAAAGTCATACTGTTCTGGTTCCTGGTGTTTACCTCCCACATTGGGCTGGGGCAGCTGCCTGGCAGCGGTGTTAAGGCCCAGAGCCACAGCACTCATTTCAAACCCTAGCTTTGCCCCTCTCTACCTCTGTGATCTTGGGAAACCTGTCGCTACTCTAAACATCAGCTTCTTCAAGCCTAAAATGGGGATCATCTCTCCCAGGCCATGGTGAGGGTAACAGAAACAAGGTATGGAAGGACCTGGCCCATTATAAGCCCTCGACAGGTATTGGCCATGTGAATTACACAGGACTGGTACCTGTGCCACACTCAGCCTGTTGCCTCCACACCCCTCCCTGGGGTTTCCTGGGTTGCTGCTGTAGGGCACAGGGACAGGGAGACTCCTCACTCCCTACTCAGATCAAGGAGTGACACTAGCATCAAAGAGGACAGAATGAATGCTGGCAAGGCCAAGGCACATCCAGGTGGCCCTTGGGGTGTGGGACCTCAGAGCTTGGGGGGGGGGGGCAGAAGAGCCTTTGGAAGTCCTGCCTTTCATGGTAAGTGGGGCTTCAATCTTGGGGATAACCAACCTACGGTTCCAGTAGCATGCCAGCATCATCTGATGTGCTAGCATGCCACCACCCTCCCAATGGAGCGTGTGCTGTCAACAGCCAGACTGTAAGACTTCCCTAGCAGGTGGGAAAAAAATACAGGCTCCCAGAGCCACCCCTAAGTGTGTGACTTGGGAGCCCATGTCCACACCCTGGGAACCTTTATTATACAAGCACCCCACAGGGTTCTGATGCCCAGGGAAGTCTAGGAAGCCCAGCCATGGAATAGGTCCCAAGAGGGACCTTTCTGGACACCCACATGAATCAGAGGATGGGAGATGGGGTGGGAGATCTGGTAGGTCCAAGGGCTCAAAGAGTGTAGTCTCATTCCAAGTGGCTTCCTGTCGAGGGAGATGATGCTGGCAGGCATGGCGCCTGCCAGGCTGCTGCAGGGAGCTAGGTCAGGGGACCAGCCTGGGACAGTGGGAGGACACAGATTCTAAAGGAGGACTCAGCACTCAGCAGGGAGTAAAAGTCTGGAACACACAAAGTTAGTCTCTGATTGGGTCTGGAGCTGCTCAAGATCACAGGTGCCGGCAGACAGACAATGGAGGTGGGGATGAGGAGGAGCAGGGCTCCAGGCTGAGAAAACGAGGGGGCGCTAAGGAAGAGCAGGCTGAGAAGAAAACAGGAAGCCATCCTGTGAGGCCTGGGGGACTTGCCGACTCTTCCTGGGAAGCCGCCTCAGCCCTTGCCTTGGGAGTGACCCTGGTGACATTCTGCTTGAGGCTCCCCCCAGGCCACACTGCAGGGCTCCCTCATGTCACTCAAGTCACCAAAGTGAAGCCACTCCACAGAACGTCCCCCCACCCTGTACCTCTGCCACATGTGACCTTCAGATTTGGGGTTCATTACTTGCACATGTGCATGCACATATACAGGCACGGGCCTTCCACGAGGGCAGGGAGCCCATCTGTTTGCTGCTGACACACCCACCAGCTGCTCCACACGCAGTTGCTAACCGGATGAACACGCTGGCTGTGACGGGGCAGGAACGGGGAGGCTGGACAAATACTTCCTCAGCACGAGGACAGCACAGCCTGGGCCCAGGAGGGGGCTGCCCTCACTGAGGGGCCCTCCATGGCCACCATCCCTTTGCTTGTAGAACGGAGGAGACTGAGAGGCCTCAGCAAGGCCCGGGGAGGCCACCGCCCAACATGTGTGGGCCATGCAGTGCTTTCACTGAGCAGACAGGAAGCACCCCAGCCACCCCCGAAGCACCGGGGTTCTGAGGAGGGGCCATGCTCCCAGTCTCCTTGACGGTGACGATGAAGGACAGATGGGGAAAGGGGTCGCTCACCCAGGCCGGGGCCAAGTGGCCACGGCAGCTCTTTACCTTAATGGTTTTTGACTGGAGCCGCAGGCCATTCAGCGTGTTGATTGCTCTCTCTGCGTCCTTGGCAGTCACGTAGTTCACGAAACCATAGCCCAGGCTGTGCCCTGTGTGGGAGAACACGGGCACAATGGTGAGCCAGCCAACAGCCAGGGAGGGTAAGCAGGGCGACGACTGACTGGGCTCAGAAAGAGGAGGTCGCAAAAAGCCAAGGTCTCCGGGTAGTGGGGTTAGAGACCAGTGGTCACAATCTATACCGGCTTTTGTTACATTTCTTTGGCCAATTCGTCTTTTTTTTTTTTTTTTTTAATTTATTTATGATAGTCACACAGAGAGAGAGAGAGGCAGAGACACAGGCAGAGGGAGAAGCAGGCTCCATGCACCGGGAGCCCGACGTGGGATTCAATCCCGGGTCTCCAGGATCGCGCCCTGGGCCAAAGGCAGGCGCTAAACCGCTGCGCCACCCAGGGATCCCCTCTTCGGCCAATTCGTGTAAATGTTCTACACTGAACAAATGTTACCTTTGTTTTTTTAAAGAACTTTTTAAAAAGCAACGCTATGCAGGGTGCCTAGGCAGCTTTCAGGTGGTTAAACATATAACTCATTATTTTGATGCAGGTCATGATCCCAGGGTCATGAACTTGAGCCCCATGTCGAGCCCCATGGTGGGCTCCACGCTGAGCATGAAGTCTGCTTGGGATTCTCTCCCTTTCCCACTCCTCCCTCTGCTCCTCCCCCCATGCGTGTATGCTCTCTCAAATAAACAAATAAATTCTTAAAAAAAAAAAAAAAGAAGAAACACCATGTTACTAATGGCACCCCGTAGAAATATTACCAAAGCAACGATGTCAATCAGTCCCCTTGGCTGAGATGTGGGGACTCCAAAGGCAAGGACAGGACGGTCACCACTGGGCAAGACAGGTACAGAGGGCAGGAGGGTGACTGGCTATCTGCATCCAGGTGTTTCTCCACCACTGTGCTGGGAGTGTGGGAAGGCTTGCTGGGCTCTGGTGCCACCCAGTGTTGGGTCCCTTACTTTCCCAAACATACAAGTCAGCTAAAAAGCAGATGACAGGGAGCACAGGAGAAGCTGGAGCTGACAGATGTCCTGTCCCAGCCCAGCTGTGCACCTGCCTTCATTGCCCTGGCCAAGTCTCCAGGGCCCCCCTTGGCGGCAGCCTCCATGGTGGCAGCAGCACCAGCTGAAATCTGGGGAAGTAAAGATTATGAGAGAAACCCAGGATTACAGGGAGGTGTCTCCCCATCTCTCCTTTGTGAAATATCCAAGTTGTGAGTGACCACAACTACCTGCATGCCACAGGAGAGACTCAGTCTAATAAGGGAGAGGCCACGGGTTCCCAGGAGGCCCAGGGAGAAGCAAAGGCTGAGGGGCTGAGTGAAAGGAGCCTTGTCCTTTCACTATAGGAGGGGAGGGTGGAGGCCCAGAGAAGAGAACCAACATGCCCACCTCTTACTCATTCACAGGCTGCACTAGTGGGCAGCCCCTGAGTGCTGGGCACTGCTGTAGGCACACAGAGAGAGTGGTGAGCTTTGCCCTATTCCTTGGGTTGGTGGAGGGCAACAACAAGCAGGTAAAAAACAGGACCAGGTCTTGAGCCACATGAGGTGCCATCCCTGAGTGCCAGCTGATCCCAGACCCTCTGGTGGATAATGAGATGCAGAACCCAGAAGAGTCTAACCCAGTTTTCCCGCCTTCTTAAAAACAAACAAAAAACCCCCAACTTTATTTTTTAGATTTAAAGTTACAAAGAGAGGGCAGCCCGGGTGGCTCAGCGGTTTAGCGCCTGCCTTTGGCCCGGGGTGTGATCCCGGAGACCCAGAATCAAGTCCCATGTCAGGCTCCCTGCATGGAGCCTGCTTCTCCTTCTGCCTGTGTCTCTGTCTCCCTCTGTCTCTCATGAATAAATAAATAAAATCTTAAAAAAAAAAAGTTACAAAGAGAATACAGAGAGTTCCCATAGAGCCCACTTCCCCTGTAACATCTTACACCAGGATGGGACATTTGTCACAATTCAGGAACCAGTACTGATAGGCTGCTAGTTAACTACAGTCTACATTTGATTCAGATTGCCTTAGTTTTCCCTTAATGGTCTTTTCTGTCCCGGGAGACCATCCAGGATCCCACAGGACTTGTAGTCATCACGATTCCTTAGGATGCTCTTGGCTGGGACAGCTTCTCAGACTTTCCTCGTTTTTGATGGCCTTGAGTGTTTCAAGGACTGGTCAGGAATTTTGTAGAATCTCCTACAGCTGGGGTTCATCAGATGTTTCTCTTATGGGGAGGCCGGGGTGATGGGTATTGGGGGGAAGATCCCAGAGTGAAGTGCCCTCCTCCTGACATCGTATCAGGGGTATGTGCTGTTACCATGACTTCTCACGACTGATGCTGACTTGGAACCCCTGACTGAGGCTGTTTGCCAGGTTTCTCCACTGTGGAGTCACCACTAGCCCCCAAACTGTAGGCTTCGGAAGGAAGTTAGTGCAAAGCCCACACCAAAGGAGTGCCTTGTGGAGGCATCCTCTCCCTCCTCTAGGGCAGGGTAGCTACACTAACTGGCTGCAGATCTGCACGGGCCACTTTCTTTTTTTAAAGAAACAAAACCCAAACCTGACCCTCTATATTCATACACTCATTAACCCGTGCAATGAAACTGCACGGGTTTGAGATTTAACTCCTAAGCCGTGGACAGTGAGGACCTCGGAGTAGCAGGGCTGTGGGGCCCGGACCCATCTAGCAGGAGAGTCAAGGCTCAAAAGTTCAGAACACAGGGCAACAACTACAACTGGCTCAAGGCTGGGAACTTTAAGGCCCCTGCAAACAGTCCAGACTACAAACATTAAAGCGGAGAATGGGACGCCTGGGTGGCTCAGCGGTTTAGCGTGATCCTGGAGTCCCCGGGATCGAGTCCCACATTGGGCTCCCTGCATGGAGCCTACTTTTCCCTCTGCCTGTGTCTCTGCCTCTCTCTCTCTGTCTCTCATGAATAAATAAAATCTTTTAAAAAAAGCTGAGAATACAGAATGTCTGTGGTATGGATTCCCAACCAAACTACAGGCTTGCTGGGATTTTTACTCTCCGATCCCCATTCTGCCCATCTGTCACTGTGCCCAGGCCATGAAGCCTGGTGGCCCAGCCCCGGGATGGGTTCTTCTGCCGGTTTGGTCAGTACAACCCCTACTTAGGTCTTATCTTTCTGTTCTTCCCATAGGTTAACCCCAAACCTGGACTACCCGTCTCCTTCGCTGCCGGTGGCCTAAGCCCTGCTAGGGAAGACCAGACACTGATGAGGACCCATGCCCAGGCCATGCTCCTGCGTCTCAGCTGCAGCTGGCTCCTGTCAGCATATAAACACAAGTCCTACCCTGTTCATGCTTCCTGATGCCTTTTCTCCCCGGTGCTCGGCGGCCCTGGCTGGCTCCCAGGGTAGTCACTGCAGACTGCCAGCACTGCCCTCACTGAGGCTGCAACTGTCAGGTGCCACCCCCAGACAGGTACCTCCTCCTCCAAGATATGACAATGCCAGGTTCTTTCTCTCTGGGTTTTCTTTCTCCCCAACTGTCCCTCCTCAAGCTCCTAGTCTTCTACTCATCCCATCAAGATGGCCCCCAAGGTTCTGCTTTCGGCTCTGGTCTCAGTCACATTCTTCCTGGGTGGCCTCCTTGACCACCTAGTGCCCTCACCTGCCAATGTCACCCAGAAAGTCACATACCCTCAGATGGCCACTGCCTCCCGGGCTTGCTCCCCCTCTGGTTTTTATCAATGCATCGATAAGTATTAACTGAACACCTACTATGTGTCAGGCCTCGCAGGCTGGCCACCAAGTTTGATGATGATCACGAAGGAGGACAGTCTATGCCTTAGTGAATGTCACATCCCAGTGGGCAAGTTGCACAACAAAGCAGCAAGAAACCAATGAACAAAATTGCCACCCAGGTGCTATGAAGACAATCCCTACTGTGGTGTGAGAGGGACTGATGGGACAGGCCTGTGGTGACAGGGCAGGCAGGAGTGCCCTGTAAGGAGCTAATGCTTGCAGCAAGACCTTGAGATGGCTGAGGACAAGTAGTCCAGACAGAAGAGCAAGTGCCAAGTCTGTGAGGCAGAGGAGACTTTGACGTGTTCCAGGAAATGAAAGGTGGCCAGCGCAGTTGAACAAAATGAGCTGGGGAATGGCCCAGAGGTGGCTGCTGGGTGGAATGGGGCCAGGCCACTGGGCAGGGCCTGGGACCTAGGCCAAGTGTAGATTCACCAGGAAGACCCAACAGGAGGACCTGCAGATGAGCTGCTGCAGTGGGGAGATCAGAGAGGGCTGAGTTCCCCGAAGTGTCAGAGAGTAGCTCCCCACCAACACTTCTGGGTTGGGCCTTCTGCAGCCTGGAGCTGTGTGGGGAGGGATCTCTGCACACCCTGTTCGGGGCTGGCCTTGTCCCCTCAGAGTCTATGCAACCCTCTGTGGTGCACACCTAAGTGCAGTGGGAGGGATGGCAGTTGAGGAATGAAGGGGTCCCCTCATGGGGACCCACCACAAGGCCATTAGGTGAAATTGCCTAACACAGTGCCAGGTCCCAGCCTCCACCCAGCTGCTTGTCATAAGCCAACTGTTCTCTACTTTGGCTGCTTGCTAGAATCACCAGGGCAGCTTCTAAAAACTATCACTGTCTAGGTCATAACCTGAACCAATGATGTCGGCATGGGGGTGGGTGGGGTAGGAGTGGCAGTGGCTTCAGTACTTTTTAAAGCTCCTCAGTGATTTCAGTGAGGAGCCCAGGTTGAGAGCTGCTGCTGCAGCAAGTGAATAAGGAGAATGGGGCTCTCCAGCTATGTAGAAGCCTGCTGGTGTGCTCAGAGCAGGCACCTAGGGGAAGGCCCTCACTTCCCAAAGCAGCCCCCAAGTTGCTGTTTCTCTAACAGGGTCTACACGCCATGCAGGGTAATGACACAGCTCCCTAGGGCCCACCTCAGCCTGAAGACCCAAGATGTCAGGCAGGCGTACTTCCAATCTCCTTACAGATGATTTTCCTGTCTCCTAGAGGTAGTGAGCCTGCTAGAATCGACGCCATGAAGGTGTATCAGGTGCTGCCCCCT